TCAGTGGTTCGTTGGGGTGGTTAAGGTGCTGTATAGCACCATCTTTAGATATAGGTGCTATTTACTGTAGCACTTAAAGTGGTTCCCCTATGATTACGAGCCAAAGAACCACTTTTAGTGCTATTTAGCACCATTTGTTTTTAGAGTGTTTTTCACAAACACCAGCAATACAAGACAGGTTGTGATTTTTCAGGTGCAGCACACCTGTTAAACTATAAACTCTGTTAGTTAAGGCTCAGTACCTTTTTTAAAGAACACTTTATCAATGACAAGTCAAGGTCATTGATAAACGAGAAACTGACGTTGTGAAACCCAATGTGCTCTGTCAGCATTAAGACGAGCAATTAAATGGACCAAGCAAATTTAACACAAATGCCAGATGGTTGAAAAGAACACACGTATATATTCATCTGTCAAAACAAATGGTAAGAGCCGATGGCTTCCAGACCATGTCAAATTCCTCACTTTCATCTGAATCAAATTTTGCAAAGACACGCTTGAACTCTGGGTATTCATAAATTGTTGATCTTGGAATGACACAACTGAAATCTGACCCAAGTTGCATTGACTTTTTTTATTTACCACACCCAGTGAGAAATAAACCAGCATTATGTTTGTGGGTTCCAAGTCCCAGGCTTAGTGGTAAAATCACTGTGACACAAGGCCTCTTTTGGCCCAGAGCACACATGCAATACTGTATCCCACAATGCAATGTGTTTAACTTGACCTTCCATATGTGATGTGATGAATGAACTGGTAATATGAGCTAGTGCTGGGCGGTATACCGGTTCATACCGAATACCGGTGTATATTTTTGTTATGATATGAATTTTTAAAATACCGCAATACCGGTGTATGTCGCTTAAACAACATTTGGAACAAAAATACCGTCATGTACCGTGAAACGGTATAATTTTGAAAAATACCGTGATATAAATTTTTGGTCATACCGCCCAGCACTAATATGAGCCATGACATCTCCTTGATTTGAGTCATTTTATTACTTGAGTCATTATGCTGACCACTTATTTTTAATTTAATTTAATTTTTTTTTTTTTACAAAAAGAAAGCAATTTAATTTAATTTCATTTCATTTCATTTAATTTGTTATTATATTCTTATTTTATTTCTAATTTTATATTATTAGTTTGTTTATTTATTTTATTTTATTTTTTATTTTTGCTTTAACTTTATTTTATTTATGTTTTATTTTATTTTATTTTTTAATTTATTTTATTTTAATTTATTTTTGTTTTAGTATAATTAGTATAATTAGACTAATCTGAATAGAAAGCAATTTAATTTAATTTCATTTCATTTCATTTAATTTGTTATTATATTCTTATTTTATTTCTAATTTTATATTATTAGTTTGTTTATTTATTTTATTTTATTTTTTATTTTTGCTTTAACTTTATTTTATTTATGTTTTATTTTATTTTATTTTTTAATTTATTTTATTTTAATTTATTTTTGTTTTAGTATTGCTTTATTTTATTATATTTTATTTTTATTTTAAATGAAGTCAAGGCAACTTTTATTTTATCTTTTTATTTTATTTTATTATTTTATTTTTTATTTTTTATATAAATACCTTGTTGCAGTATATGAAGCAAATAAGACACCAAGGAATATCTGAATCCAAATCGTATCATTTGCAGCTTATGATATCCTGCAGTCCTGTGTGTGGCTCAGCAGTTTGTGGAAAGAGTAAATTGTCTTATAAATGTCATTTTTTTTAAACGTATGATTTCATTTCTACTGAATAATTAGTCTTTAAATGTCTGACTCACGTTTGTTTAGTTTTTTTTTTTTTTAATGTAATCATCAGACATGACGTCATGATGCCAGAGATCCGTCTAAAGTCTGTCTCCTTCCTTAGGAGGTGCTTTCATACAATAATGCTGTCTGTTTAGTCATTGACTGACTAGCCAGCTGCCATTGCTTTTAGACACAAGCTGTGGAAGGAGGCTTCCTGTTTGTGCACAGCTCCAGTTCCTCAGATGCAATTTTGCCTCGAAACAGTTTTCTTAATGCTCCAGTAAAAGCAGTGCCAGAAATTATGGTCTGCCATCCTGTTTGTGAAGCCCAGAGCTCATTTGTTGATGGGAGGCGGGATATTAGTTGTGGCAGTGGTCTGAGCAGCAATCTTATTATAAAGGACTTCAGCAGATTGTGAGTTCTGACAAAGCAAATCACCTTTAAACATCAGTGACTTTTCAATCCTGTTTATGAAATGCTGAAAGGTTTTGAAGTTAGTGCTGTAGATTGCCTGTTTTTGCACTGAATCACTGAGCAGAGATGATGGTTTCGATCTGTTGTGACTGACTCAGTGTTATTTATGTACTAGTATAGCATTTATTAATATTTTAAATTAGCTTTGATTTTATTTTCAGCTTTTGTTTTATTTTCAGTTTAAATTTTAGTAATTTTATTGTTAAATCATGATTAGATAAATTATTAAAAAATATATTTTGCCACAGAAAATGATTTTGGATCGTCCAATAGTTGTTTTAAAGGAAGAAAGTGTCATTGCTACAAAATTGTGCTTACAAATGTGAAGCTTGTATTTTTGTTAAATATTTATTTTAATTTATTTTATTTAAGCTGTCTAAATCATCCATTTTGAGGTGGAAGTACATCTAGTTAGATACTTTTTTTGAGTTTCATCTAAAAGTGTGTTCGACAATTGAAATAAAGCTGAAATAAAAAACAACTATAAATATTAGATGAAGTCAAACTTTAATAAATAAATTAATAAAATAATAAATAAATTAAAAAAATAAAAATGCCCTGCAACTAACTCAAATATGTTTAAGCTGAAGTACAAAAATGACTGAAAAATAAATTAAAATGAATTAAAACTAAATAGAAGCGGCTAAACAAAATTCAAATGGAAACTGAAAATATTAAAATAAAAGCTAATTCAAAATATGAGTAAATACTAAAATAGTATATACTGTATATCAGGGGTGCCCACACTTTTTTTGTGTTGGGATCTACTTTTCAAATGAGAAACAAATAAATAAATAATAAAATACATTTAAAATAAATAAATAAAAAAGCTTCCTGGGATGCAACTTTATATTGCATTATTTTAATTGTTAATAAAAAAATAAATAAAAAAATAATCAATTCAGCAAGCCCAGCCTTTTCTATTCACTAAAAAACCTTTTGAGAAACTAAAAAAATAAAAATAAATAAATAAAATACATTTAAAATAGATTTATAAACTTGTTGGGATTTAACTTTATATTGCATGAATTTAATTATTAAAAAAATATCTAATGTTCAATTCAGACCCTCTCCTCTCCAAATCAATTCAGCAAGCCCAGCCTTTTCTATTCACTAAAAAACCTTTGTATTCTAGTGTTATTACTTTTCAATTACATGTAATTATTTTTAAACGAAACAAATTCCAGATAGATTCAAACATTCCATGTTCTTTTTTGCAAACTTACTTTGCAAAAATGTCACTGCAGATATTCTATACAACTTAAAAGTACGTAAAGCTCAATTATACAGTAATTTTAACAAATAAGCACTAAGTTAACCTGCAATACCAAACAAGAGCACAGGGAGATGCCAAAGGACTGCATATAAACTACTATGGATCCATTCATAATCACTAAACACCAAAAAACAAATGAAAAATTAAACCATTCTGGAAACTCAGCAATTCAAAAGCGGCTCGCCTCGACGTCATCAGTGAATACGTTCCTCTTTCAGAACATGCAATAGTGTCAGTGTTGCGTCTGATGGCCATGTGTACATAAACACATCCGTTATAAAACACTCGCTGTATACGACTACATGAATATACTGAAATACAGAGTTATGGCATGAAGCTCTAGATGGTGCAGTCCGATAGGTCTAACTCAATCTGACCTAATGACATCATTATCACATGGCACAGCTGATTGGTTCTCTCCTGTATCGGTAGCCAATGAGCTCGCTGCTCAACATTCAAATATATGACTAGTGCTTGCCGTAGCAGTGCAGCTTGCTTCAGAAACCCTCCACCTTCCCCAGCTCCACCTGTATAGATCTGCTACGAGGTGATTCATGTATGCTATATTGTTTTTTTTTTCATGTATGTTATATTTGCAGCAGCAATATTTCTTACATGCTCACAGCAGCATGTTGTGGATGTATTGGCAGTAGCAAGTCTCGGTACTTGCTCTGCCGCAGCAGCAGCGTAGCAGATCTATTCTGCCCAAGACCAAGTACATTAACATTGTCATGTACATTACAATGCCAATCCCTCCGAGAGTTGTCATGACAGAACTGTGTTCAAGAAGAAATATGTTGTTGTGATCAGTGCGCCGAGAGCGCATATACATGGTTAGTTTGCGCATCAATAATAACGAGAACAACGCGCGCCTAATGAATGACTCCTGTATGTCACTAATACATAGAGAGGTGGTGCTGTTATTTATTTATATATTTTTAATTATGTAACATATTAGTCATGAAATTAGTGAATATATTATATTTTAGTAAGTTATCTCGCGCCCCCCGGTTGAGAACCACTGACCTTCATTTGATTTGCGATCTACCAGCATTGCCTTCGCGATCGACCTATTGGGCACCCCTGCTGTATGTAATACTAAAATAACACTGGGGGGGAGTTGTATGTAAACAGTACATTTCTGGTGTTCTGTGTGAAAGTTATCAGGTTATCAATTCATCTGTGCGTGTTTTCCAAATGAAAGCAAAATGTTTGTCTTGGTAACCTTTTATCAAAATGTAATAAGTTGCACCACTTCTGAAACCACTTTCTATTGCAGCCAATGTCATGAAGCCTTCTTCACTCCCTCTCTTCCAAACACCTGGCTCCGATTGGATAAAATCAAGTCCCGTCCTGCAGTTTTTTCTTGTTGAAAATCCCATTTCACTTGAAAAATGTCATTTCACGGTGGTAAAATGTGTTGACGTCATGTTGACTTGAAAGTCACAGAATCAGACCTGACATTTGTGTTTTTTTCTGTGTGTTGCAGGTATCATCCTCCTGCGTTCCTGTTGCCAACTATGAACTGGTAAGAACGTCTGTGGTTGTTATGATGACCCGTTTTTGATAATTTCCTAGAACCGTCATCACTCGGAATCTGCTCTGTTAATCAGATTGATGATAAAGTGATGTTTACGTGGCATGAGAACGTATCATCCCACAACCGTTAATATTTATAAGAAGGAAATAAAAG